GGCTCCAGAGCTGCTCCAGCCCTCCCAGCATCTCTGGGGCCTCCTCTGGACTTGCTCCAACAGCTCCATGTCCTTCCTGTGCTGGGGACCCCAGAGCTGTTCCCAGCCCTGCAGGGGGGTCTCAGCAGGGCAGAGGGGACAATCCCCTCCCTGGCCCTGCTGGTCTCACTGCAGATGAGCTTCATAATTATTTGGGGAGCTGGAAGAAGAGCAGTGAAATGTTCCACAGCCATCAGGAACCCTCTTGCTAAAGCCTGGCAACTCAGTGGGATTATTGGAAAACCTGCTGGGAAATCACTGGGGTTACTGGAAAACTCAATGGGGAATCACTGGGCTTACTGGGAAACTTGATGGTTCTTGGCTGGATCTTTAGAGGGGACAGGCAAGAAACAGCTCCCAGTGCTAAAAGCAGCCACAGGATTCCTGAATTCAGGCATCCCGGGTCAGAGGATTCCCATGTGCTGTCCCTGTTCCCATGCAAAACTGGGAACATGAAGGAATCCAAGCTGCTGGGTTTGGTTTCATCCCTTGCAGGTCACTTGTGTCACCTCAAGGCCAACACTCCCCAGGGCTGCTGTGGGTAACAGCCTCAAAATCACCTTCTCTTTGGAATTCTCCATTCCCAAAGGCTGATAAAGCTGCTGGAAATTCAGACCAGGCTGCATTCCCCAGGGAAAGGTTTCCATGAGGACTGAGCTCAGCCCCCCTGCCACCTTCTTCTCCATCCACCCCCTCCTTGGTGCCCACCTGGGTGCTGGTGCCACCCACCCTGTCCCCACGGGTCCCTCTGCTGCTCCCTAATTTGGGGAAAAAACCCCACAAACGAGGCCCAAACCCTCCACTTTGGATGCTGCCAAAGTGGGTTTGGGGCTCCTGTGGGAGCAGGAAGGTTCCACCAGACCCCAAAGGCAGGTCCTGGGCTGCTCTGGCACCGTCTCCCTGGAGGAGCAGTCCCTGGGGTTTGGGAAGTTGGTGAAATAAAGTCAGTTTGGGAAGGACAAGAAGAGTCTGTAGCCATTTTGGGGGGGGTTCCTGAAATGTGGCCTCGGGGACCTCAGTGTCCTCCTCACAGCAGGGGAGGGGGCCTGGGAGTGGGACAATGTCCAGGCTGTGATCCCAGGGATGTCCTGGAGGTGATCCTGGGGGTGCCTGTGATCCTGAGGGTGCTGATGTCCTGGGCTGCAGGTGCCTCAGGATACAGCAGATCCCAGTGGTTCTAGTGTCCTGGGGGTGATCCTAGTGTGCCATGGGTGATCCGGGGTGCTGGTGGTCCCAGTGGTGATCCCACCACTGAGATCCCAGTGTGGTCCCAGTGATCCTGGGAAGCCCTTGGTGATCCTGTGGCTGATCCCAATGTGTTCCCAGTGATCCTGGGAAGCAATTGGTGATCCTGTGGCTGATCCAAATGTGTTCCCAGTGATCCTGGGAAGCACTTAGTGATCCTGTGGCTGATCCCAGTGTGGTCGCAGACATGCCAGGGAGGTCTTGGTGATCCCACATCTGTTCCTGGTGTGGCCCTGGTGATCCCAGTGGTGATCCCAGTGAGATCCTGCTGTGGCCCAGGTGACCTCAGTGGTGATCCTGCTGTGGCCCAGGTGATCCCAGTGGTGATCCCAGTGAGATCCTGCTGTGGCCTGGGTGATCCCCCCGGCAGATCCTGGGGATCCCACAGTTAATCCTGGTGTGCTCTCGTCCTCTGCTGTGGCCCTGGTGATCCTGCTGTGATCCCAGTGTGATCCCGGGGATCCCGCAGCTGATGATCCCGGAGCTGATCCTGGTGCAGCCCCTGGTGCGATCCCGGCGGTCCTGTGGCCGATCCCGGCGATCGGGCGGCCGTTCCCTCTTGCGGCCTCGCTGATCCCGGAGCGATCCCGGGGCTGTTCCCGCTGATCCCGGGGCTGATCCCAGGGCCGTTCCTGCTG